TAACTAACTAACTAACTAAGGGATTTTATTGAATTCCATTAACAGATTAAAAAAGTGTATCCTCTCTGCCAATCACACAGAAGTGTAGTTAACTCATCTGACACATCATACATCCCACTAAACATATCATATGAAATACCACATGCAACCTTAAGGCGCTTTGCTTAACACTGCATCATTGTTCATAGCTGGATGACATCAGACATCAAGCAGCTCTGATATGCTAACAGGAGCATCTGGTTATTAGGGACAGCCACTAGTGCCATGGTATATTAATGACATGCTGATTTTACAAACTTGAGGAATTTTATTGTATAAATGGTTAATACTTTTTTTTTCATTTGCATTCAATTTTTTGTAATCATATTCATTTACGTTCTATGTCCGTGTTATGTATATTTCATATTACGTTGCCTAGAATCGTTCCAATGATTAATTGGAACATTTGTTCTGATATGTGACACATTCTATATCCAAGGGTTTGCGAATCTACTTCTCAACATGTATCTGGATCTGCTTGAATGTGAAATAAAAGAACAAGAACATTCAACTCTGTTGTGCAATTTAGCAGTAAGACCAGATATGTGCAATCAATTCTGTAAATGCAACAGCTGAGAAGTAAGCCTGGCATGCAGCTAGACCTGAATGTTCTAAAAACAAGTTAAACAATGAAGATGTAATTTCAAACAGCATATATTAATTTATGGTATTTTCTTGGATTCTGATTTTATAGTACATTTACATTTACATTTATTTTTCACTTCATGGATCCAATCATCTCCCCGTAGGGCTCGATATAAAACATGTCACATATTACAAATTCATGATGACTACACATCATTTGTCCTTTGTCCAATAAAAATCAGCCCTCACACAGATAGCTCAAGTTGCCAGGACAACACACATAGGTCGTGGAAAAACCACTGCCAAATTAACAATTAATATTCATTTATATTAATTTTTGTGAGAAAGTACATTAATGCTATTCCTCAGAACACTGGGTATTTCTTCGAATTAATCCCTGCAGTCACACCAAATGAATTTCTGCCGCCATGTCACACACTTATTGGAAAGTGCACCAATAATCAACACATGGCAGCAGCAGCAGCATATTCAGCATATCAATTGCATATTATTTTGTTATCTAGTAAACAATGATGGATTTTATATCTATGCACACAGATCTCTGGAAGACATATTAAATATAAATATGAATATTAACATGTAACAAGAAAGTGAGTGGTAGCTGTACAAAGCATTTCTTCTAAGTGTCCAAAACTATGCATTCATTCATTCAAAGAAAAAAAATATATCTCTACTGTACATTAAAAAAGTGCCTATGATTCCTCTTTTAACGAGAGCTTTCAATTTCTGTCAACAGAGTATTAACTATATGGTCTTGATACAGCCAAGGAATGAAGAACGAAACTGAAGACATGACTCACCAAACCTTCGGCCTTCAGGAGTGTTAAACAATTCTGCTCCTCTTTAACATCACTGACAAAGAACGTTGGTTGTATCTCACCATCCGTATTAGGTTCCATTTTAATTAGATCCATGTTAGGCTGGAAACCAATCAATTTTCCTCTTAAGATATTAAGTTATGCTTTAATTAGCATGATAAATCCTTAGTCAGAACAATTACATTCATCTTGCTTACTATAAAAACTGGAATTAAAATACTGATATGATTAATATATAAGAATAAACCCACATACTAATCTCGTTTGTGGAAACACTCTAAGTAACAGTCAGAAATTAAACCTTATTTTAGTCCTTCAATTGTTGTCAATGAGACATATGTGCACCATTTCTACATTTGTCTGGTCCATGTAAGTTGTTTCCCAGAGGTACACATGTATATGTTTGAACTACAGGATATGAACTGTGACCAGTCTCTCAAGTGCTGGATATAAAGATCATAAAAGGATAGAAAATGTTCTGTTTCTTCTCTCTTTCATTAGTTTTGAGGAAAGTATGAAAGATGTAAAAATGTGAGATTCTTGTTCCTTTAAAGACCACATGGAGCCATTCAACTTATTTTTAACAAACAGCCAAAGGGTTAACATTTCAGAACCTGCATCATGGGTTTTTAGCAATGAATGTGACCAAACAGGCTGGTCTAGACATAAAGCTCTAGATCTCTGGGAAGTGCTCAGTTTGAATCTTGGCTGGGCCATTGACTATCCTGACTGAGGTCTCCAAGGTTGTCCCTAGTCCATCCAGCCATATTCCAGGATAGTACCTTGATTAAGCTATGGCTGCATCCTTCTAAGTCCTTTCCAATTCATCCCTCATCCTGCCACCTCGGGCCATGCAGTCTAAGATACTGAGTTCATCATCAAATACTCCACTTACCCACACAGAGTAATTTATATGTTCATGTTTAGTATATGAGATGTGAGACTGGAAATGTAAATAGTGGAGCAAATGTTTGTGGCCTAATTCATGATGATCTGTTAGAGAAACTGCAGAAAACAACATATCTCAGGACAGTCCATCCTCAGAAAGGATTCAGGACAACTAATTCCCAAATACAAGTCTGACACTACTGCAGAAGTTAACCTGTGTGCTGGTACAATTCTGATGCTCATGCTGCATGTACATCATTCAACACATCCTTACCATCTCTGTAACTTCCTGCTTGCTTAGTCTCTTCCTTGCTCTACCTCTCTTACCTCTTGTGATCATGGGTGGGACCTCACAACTTTCTTGTCCCTAGGCTATGTTGCCTATGCTATGCTCATTTTCAAAATACATGCAATAATGCCATTCAGTACTCAAAGCACTGGGCCATGGCACTAGTTTAACTGAACACCAGGTTACACGTGTTTGTGCACCATATGACAGAAAGTGTTTTTCAGGTGCTACTCTTGAGTTCCTCTGTGCATCTGAACTCTCACTTCCATTACATGACACAGTTTTACGGGTACAGCAACAGTCAATCTTGACAAACTGCCTTTCAAGTAAGTCATTAGAAAAGCAGAACTACTTTTCATTCACGAATTCCAAAAGCAAAATCCTTGCCCCTTCCCTTCATCCCAAAGCACAACACTAGCACAAATACTGACAGTCACTTAATATATATTATCAAGTGGAAACTGTAATATCATATGATGATTAAACTATGATAGCATGGTAATGCATAACAAGTGCAGTCTGTAGAATGGCAAAATGGAATAGAAATCAAATTAAAACTGCATACTCATATGTATATAATTTGTTGATCGTGTACTGCAATTCTGTTATTTAATCTAATAAGACTACTACAAAGGTTGAGAATACTCTCATTACGAGTGGCCTAATGCAACTTATTATACATAACCACAAAACTTGCTTACCTTTGCCACAAAATCTAGTTCCCAACTCGCTGGGAGCCTAAAAGAAAACTTCTATTCCGGGTTTGCAAAACTAACTCCAAAGTTGTGCGATTTCTATACAAGCACGCTACTAGTGTTATGCTACTACTGATAGTAATAATAAAATCACTGACGCCTTCTTACGTCGCGAAACATGTATATTTAAATAGCGCACAAAAATGGAATTGCGCTAAAACTTACACCCAATATTATGAGCAATTAAATCCGTAACACGTCAATATGAAATCATTTAAATAATAAATAAGTTGGTCTTCACTGTTCTACTTTTCATACTTTATGAATGTATGTCCCACACTGCTTACGCTCACCTCTTCAATGTACTCAAAACCAATATGAAAGAAAACGTACCGACTCAATCAGTATGGTCTCGTAATTATTCTATACTGAACGGATTTGGATTCCACTGCCACAATCCGTTTATATAATCTTCCGCTTTGCTGTGATCAAAAGGAAAATACCGCGAAGAGGTTTGAAAATACAACATTACAATCAGTGATATCATTTTCGTTTCCGGCCACTTTTTGTCATCTAGGTCATGTAAGTAGTAAGAATCTTTTAATTTATAATCATAAACGAATAATGTACAGAATGAAGACAATTAGGGCGCAAAATTAATCAGCCAGTACCTTCTAACAAGCATTACTGTTCCCACAGTAAGACCCCAGCAGAAGAGAATGGGTTAGAAACCTACCCATCTTACTGCGACAATAACAGGAGAAAGAAAAATTCCAAAAACTGCAGTATTAACGAAATCAGACACAATTTGTTACTTCACACATGATTATGTAAACTGATGTGCAATAACATTTCCCTCCTTCACGTGTCTTCCTAGCGTCTTGGAAGAACCATGGAGGCACTGATACTGATACGTGAGGCAAGGAGAATGAGCATTGCATCGTGCCACAATAGGGTTCCCATCAGAAATGCAACAAACTTTTGAAAATATTATTTAAAAAAATAATAAGTCTACAAATATCAAAACGCGATACAATTTGGAAATTACGAAATAATATACATGAAGTTAACACGCTGGCCTACACAAGGCGTTAAACTGTAGACTTCAAAATAGCGACAACCAAACAAACGAAGCAGTTAAGATTAAAAGATTACTGTCAAAACAAAGTTCTAGTAGAACAGCTAACACTTGACTGTACCAGTGTCGAGACCAGAATGCAACATAATGCACCAAGCATATGGAATGCAGTGGCCAAAGAAAATCAAGCAGCAATCGAGAGCGTGGAAAAGGTCAAGAACTACAGCTTAGCAGGAGGGAAGTAGTGGTGAGTTGTTCGTGCGTGGTATGTAGGGATCGCCAGGTTATATGAATGCTGTAGACGGAAACAACCTGAGTTCTGAGAAAATACTGAAAAGCAGCCATGGACAGTTGACAAGGGTGATTCTCCAGTTTGGGGGTTGGGTGGAGGTTCTTAACAACTCATAAAATGCCTTAAGTTACGAAATGTTACAGCCCCGGGCTTGGATTTGTTGGGTACATCCTCAAGGTTTTGAATCGTCTCGCTGTGTTTGTAATTGACTTAACAATCTACCTTCATGGAGCTGAGCCCCTCTCGAGAAGCCTCCAGTTGTGCAGCTGTTCAATCCGCTCTATTCTGTCTCTCTGAGATGAATTGTAATATTGCCCACCCACTTGCTCCTTGATCTTAGTGGTCTGTTTCCTTCTGGCTTTTCTGCCAATATCCTATATGTATTCCTTTTCACCCCCATACATGCTACATGCCTTGTCTATCTCATCCTCCTTGACTTTTATCAATCTAATTATACTTGGCAAAGAGCAAAGATAATGGAGCTTCTCATTATGCAGTTTTTTTCCCCCCCAAGTTTGTAATAGACTTATAAACAATATTTCATACATACTATGTATGTATGTATGTTTATGAACAATCTCCATACCAGATTTCACAACTCCATGTTCATTGATTTATTAGTTATTGCCATTAAGCCTGAGACTCGAAGAAAATGTTTTACTGTACATCATTTTGTCATTCTGCATTCAATAAAAGTATTATCTAAGATGTGTATTTTTCCAAGATTGATTACGATACATCTCTTCAGGACCTTAAAGTGATTGGCGCTAGTGGCGCTCCTCCTGTGTTGTAAATGCTAACTGTCGGAAATTCGAAATCATAGCATTGTGGTGGCCTTCAGTGGCATACATTCATACTAAGTTTTCTTGAAATGGGTCAGCTGTTTCAACAGTTGAAATCAAGGGACACACAGACAGCATGGAAATCTCATAAGCCTACATTCTTTTTACTTCTAAGAATATAACATAGGCTAAAAATAAAAATCAAGATAAAGGTCTCTGTGCTTCAGCAGGTGAACGTTAAACTTTATAATTCAGTAACTTTATCCTGGCAGAAGAGCATACTGTGACCTCTGTGTGGAAAGAACATTACTACCCAGGCGGTTTATTAACTGAGCTTTCAGTCAGATGATGTGTGAAGAAAGTCTTCATCCATCAACCATCATGAAACAAACGGCATGAAGATATAATACCAAGATAATGGTAATACAACTGCGCTTTGAAGCCAGATATGCGAGTATATAAGATACAACAGATTTTCAACTCCAAGAAATAAGGCTTAGATTTTATATATTAATGCCACTCTTGTAATTAATTCAAGCCATAGTTTTAAAACATTAAGGTTCTCTCAATATGAGCTAAATACAGTGAAACAACTTACTTAGAATGAATAACCCGATGATGGTCATGTGAGACCAAAATGTGTTGTGAACAAATAGGTGAATGTAATGGGGCAGTGACAAGCAATAAGACAACCACTGAACAATAATGAAAGATACAGAATAATATGTAATTTAAATAATAAAATTAACTAATTATTGAGGAGCTGGGATAGCTCAGTTGGTATAGCAACTGGTTATGGGCTGGATAACTGACGGGTCGGAGTTCAAGTCCTGGTAGGGTCAAGAATGTTCTCTTCTCCATGTCATCCAGACTGGCTCTGAGGCCCACCCAGCCTCCTACCCAATGGGTACCATGGGCTCTTTCCGTGGGGGTAAAGCAGCAGGGCCATGAAGCTGACCACTCACCTTCAACTGATGCTAAGTTCAAGAAAATGTGGATCTATACATCCACTCCCCATACACCTTCATGGCATAGTGCTTAATTAGTTAAGCACAGGGACAACTTTACCTTTTTACCTCACTAATTATTGCAAGAGAATGCATAAGTATAATTTTAATCTTACTTATGGTTATTATGCATAACAAAAACATAATATAACTACAGTCATGCAACTTGCCAATGTTATATGTTACGATCTTCAGCTTTCTGTCTCTTCCTTTCTTTTGATATTTCACCATTTCCTGTCCTTGTGTTTATATTACTGACTCTATCCATAACCTTTGGTATCATTACAGTTTTGAAGAAAGTGATACAAGGGATATTTATATAAAAGTTCCAGGTGCTAACTTACACTGTAAGGAAGAAAAGTTATTACATTGTGATAAAATTATGTGCTTTATAAAAATGAGTTCTGTTAATATGGGTGACTAGAGTTTATCTTCCTTCTGTGTAATTTGACCTTGCCACTAGCAAGCAGTCATGGACTCAGAAAAGCAGTCCCACTCATTAATAAGAATAGAAGGGCATAGTAAAGCAATCAAGAGAAGCAATTACAGTAATTTGTATTCTTTATATTAAGACCATTTGGTGAAAGAAAGAACTTTTAAACCTTTTAAGCAAGTGGCTGACACTAGGCCATACAAGTTTTACTTAACTTCCTTACTGATTTTTCAAAATAATTCCTATATATCAGGATGCAATAAGCAACAAATCCAAAGTTTCCTATGAAAAGTTTAATGAAGTTTACTATTTTTGTATGCATATCTGTGTGTGCCTTGTTCTTTGGAACTTCTAAGCCTATTACAAATCTCAGAAAGAAAAGTAATGTTACAAAATTTGAATCGCATGTTATATGCATGTACCTATACACATACACAATGATGTTTATACAGTCATTATCAAACACAACTAATGTTTGTTTGTGAATGACATAATTATTTCATTACATTCATTTTCTGAATCATAAAGTACATGAAATCAAAAGTAGTCACAACAAGCAGTGTCCTAATTTTTANCACAATGATGTTTATACAGTCATTATCAAACACAACTAATGTTTGTGTGTGAATGACATAATATTTCATTACATTCATTTTCTGAATCATAAAGTACATTAAATCAAAAGTAGTAACAACAAGCAGTGTGCTAATTTTTTACAGTCCAGTATCAAAGAGGAATTGACATGGAAACCCACAGAGTGTAGTACCATCAAACTGTGAAAGGTAAAATCCAGATACCAGTTGACAATTCTATATAAACAATTGTTCTTGCCTCTTTCCTCAGTAACACTGTTTCATGTGTAGTACACGGTTTGAAATTAAAATGTAGACCAAAAACATAGCTGGTGATTGTCAGTTAATTGGTACCTGAAACAGTTGCCATTTATATGTAGCGTCCCTTTCCAGCATGTTGCAAAGGATCTTCCTGGCCTCCACCCATTGAGAAAAATGAAGGACTACATTTCTAGTGTTGACATGACATATCATTTACTTTACCTGATGTCAACAACACTGAAAGGCTGCATAAGACCAAGAAAAGCAGCGAAGTGCCTGGAAGATGGGAGTGTTTCCATCACTTCTGAGTGAATGTCATTCAAAGGACATATTTAATGCAGGTGTTTTACAACCTACTTATGGACACAGTATATGCTTTCAAAGATGAAAGTTTTCATGGGGGCATCACTTCCTTAGTGGCATTCCTAATGTGCCAAGTCAAGTCTCAGAAATCTCTGGGAATTAAAACTTTTACATCAGATTTGTTTGAAAGACAAGTAAAACAACAGAGCACTCAATTTTATCCACGACAACAGAAACAAGTAATGCCTGTTTGAAGGCCTTTGTATTTACTGTTTTTAGCCATTTATTGAGTGTAAAAATATAATGTTAATTCATTAGTGTTCTGTAAGTAATATAATTAATTTTGGAAACATTTTGAAGCTTTCCTGTTTTAGACATATTCCTGCTTAAGAAGTTTGTATTTGTTGGTCCCTTGGAAAACTTATTAAAGGGATCCACTGTAAATAATTGACATCAATCAGCTTTATGCTGTTTAAAACATCAAGATAACAAAGCCAATGACAAGTTTTTTAACAGCTCACCATCGAAGACATAAAGGCATGCTTTCAGAGACATGAAAACTCATATCTAATCATTATAATATGTTATGAATAGACACAGGTAATAACAACTTGGTGTGTTGTGGTACCTTAATTTATTTTGCTCTGATATTGCATGACTTGTGACAGTGAAGGGTCATATAACTGTCATGTACCATTGAATTGTTGGCCCTGTTGGGGATTTAAATATGGTTATCAGCAGTTTCAGGTTGCCACTGAAGAACACGAGACCCTGCTTATAGACAGGTCAAATAAAGACAATGCATTACTGCAGTGAGCCAGAAGATGGACTGTGATTGAGAAAGTTATAGGAGACTAAAGGAAAATGCATGATGTGGAGCTTCAGTATTTTTACTTGTACCGAATATTAAGTTGAGCACACGTAAGAGGATGAGATTGTTGGGATCTAAAAGAAATGGGGTGGGAGATAGTGGATTGAATTAATTTTGTTCAGAATAGGGACAAGTGGGTGGTGGACTCCTGTGGACAGACTAATTTACCTTTGTGTTCCATAAAACGTAGGGAATTTCTAGAGCAGTTGAGTGACTGTTAGCTTCTCAAGAAACTCAAGAAAGACTCTCATCAGTGGAATTCATTATCAGAGAACTTTCTGCTTCAAACAGCAGATTGACGTCTCCAAAGTATTTAAAACCACAGTATGGGTATCTGCAGGGCTTGAGGTGGGGAGGGATGGTATCCCGGTTCTTTTCTAAATGGCTTAAAAGCATCCCGTTACTTCTTTGGCAGTAAATGCAATGTACAATACCTTTTTTGTTAAAAGGGGAAAACCATCCCGGTTCTATTTTCATTTCACCTCAAGCACTGTGTATCTGTATTTTACATATATCTCCAAAATCATGTTACATTGGCCTTGTGAAAAAGAACTCCAGCAGATCCCTACAAGATGAATAATTCAAATGGAAAAATATTTCTGAACAGATAGAGCTAATAAAGAAATTTACAAAATGTTGAATTTGTGAGATTTTGAGTGCAGGAACTTCCAAATTTCATACAGGTTCACAAAGATTTTTCCAATTTTTGATGGACTTTTCAATATGCAATAGAGTGTTAATTCATTATTATTTATCAGAGAATCAGACAATATAATACCAAGCAACTGTCAGAAACTATCTGAGGCAGTAACAACAGTATGATGCTGTCACTGTATCACACTGCTTTGCACTGTTGGCATCAGTGTTTTGCTCGCTTCTGATTAAATTTGTGTTGTATATCTTGGGTCTGGGACTTTGTGTTACAGCTGTTAGTACTCTGAGCTCAGATGTCTGGAAGGTCATCATATTGATATCACTGAAGACAGGAATTTATTAAGCATGACATCAAAATTACGATCATCAGAGAGACTTCCTACAAAGTTTCGTAAATACTATTCCATACAGCACTGTAGAATCTTGTTGTAGTTTGCTAAATAAGCTATATTTAACTGTTACTTATGTGCACCTCACCAATGTTGTTGGTCATATGTAATTATATATATATATCAGTCACAAAGTCATTCTTTCTATAGAATGAAACTGGTTACTAGTCAAGCACACTGATATCACTGAAGACAGGAATTTATTAAGCATGACATCAAAATTATGATCATCAGAGAGACTTCCTACAAAGTTTCATAAATACTATTCCATACAGCACTGTAGAATCTTGTTGTATTTTGCTAAATAAGCTATATTTAACTGTTACTTATATGCAACTCACCAATGTTGTTGGTCATATGTAATTATATATATATATCAGTCACAAAGTCATTCTTTCTATAGAATGAAACTGGTTACTAGTCAAGCACACATATTGAAAGAAATTATTTCTGAACTCACTATAGTTCGTCTTTCAGGAGTGTTCGTGTAAGGCTTGTGAAACTAAGAGGTAGTGAAGACCAAAAATTGACACGTTCCTTTAATAGACCACTGCTCATGTAGATGTTACTAGGTGATTTTATGTGCAGGTACTCAAGATCATCAATAGATGTCACTGGCTGCCATCCTGTGAGTACCACCTCCTTCCCTGAATCTGGTGGTGTTGGATTCCTGAAATAAGTTATGTCCTCATTTAGTAAACTCTCAAATAAAATGTCAAATGATGAGTCTACCTGTTGGGTCAGTATGAACATACTCTTTCCTTTCTTACCCTAGATATCTACATAATTTTATTTTAACAAATTTCAAGTATTTGTGTTGCAGTATGTAGGCCCTCACCCAGTGCGTGCAAAGTTGGTCCACATGTGAATGAGACAGTCAACCATCTGCTCTTCCTCCGGTGTGGCAGTGAAGTTGCCAAAGATCCTTCCTGAAGGGAACAGGTAGATCAGCTCATCAGCATGACACACACCTGTAGAAGTGGATCAGACAAGGGAAAACCTGTTCTTGACTCATACTAAGACTGTACCGTAAAATAGTTCCTCTCATAATATATCATAATTTGGAAAGACTGAGAGAAAGGTGGCAATGAGATTTGAAGCTAGAAAAGGCATTAATGGTTATTCCCTTAAATGAAGAAGTAGTAGTAGTTTACCATTTTGGAAAGGTGTTGAAAAGTCTGCTTTCTATTATTCTAAATAAATGTTATAAAATAAATTTTAAAACTGTAAATATTACAATTAAATATATTGTTCCCTTCATTTTCTTTCTTTTTTTTGGGTGGGGGTGGGGGGTATGTATTTTGTTATCCCTTTTCCCAGAAATGTGATCAAAATGTTCATTGCATGATTTATGAAAATGGTCCATCATGTGAAATAACAACCTTCTTACATCACAAAAAGGTGGTATGCTTTCTTTAAAAAACTAAATAGACCCTACACAAGATAACTTGTAACAAAACATAGGTATAAAATATTATCATCATGTAAACTCTACCTGTTTATTACAACTGTCCTCATGTCAAACTCATCACCCTATAAGCATAGCAAAGCATAGCAGAGTGTTTCATCCTTCAGTTTGAATGGTTGCAATAATGAGTGATTCTTGTTCAACACCACCAAATAAAATGTTCTGTACTCACTGCCCTGCCTGCCACTATTCTTGCCAGACTTTCAAGATTTCACTGCTGTTGTCTTTCATACACAAGAATGAGATGCACATATATGGGTTTCTTTTTTGTCATAATTTCATAACATAAAATACAGGTGCATGATTTATGTAATGTTGTGAATTATACACTGAAATACGGCCCGTGAAAGAAACACGCCTCTTTTGCAACACACCAAAATCTCTGGTGGGATCTCCAAAGAGCTCGCTGAAACTATGAGGCCCTCGATACTCAAAGTAGTAGTAATATACTGAAGGACCACCACCCTCAAGCTTGTTCCTGGACAGATGGACACGCACTGCCTCATCTGCTGCCCACAGAAAGAAGCTGTCTGTGTACATCTGAAACAGCAGGTGTAACATCAGACATCTGTAGATCAGCAATAACAAATGAAATATATTAATGCTATGCAGCTACCAACAAGACTGAACAAACAGATTATGATATTCTAGGAAGAGATGATATTTAGTTTGGTAAATAGGTACCAACATTTATTCTACCCTGAAGATGGAGGCAGCAGGTTCCTCTTAAACACTGATATCTATTTACCAAACTGAGTGGCATCACATCCCTGAAGACCACATTTTTTCACATTTACTGCTGTGAGAACCTTGAATGTCACAAGACAAAAGGAAGTATCCCCATTCACATAATAGCAGTGACTTCCCTGTGATATCCTTATTAGGCATTGTGGTTGGGAACACTGAAATGAAGAGGAATTTTAATGTTGAAACCTACAGAAATTGGGACACTAAACGGAAATTTTAAAAATTACCACTGAAACGTAATTTATCTTTTTCCCCCAAAGTTGAGTGATAGAGGACCTGATAGAAAATAGACTTATACTTCATTAGTATTTAAAGCGTTGATTTTGAATGTGCAGGAATACATAAATCCTTTATTAGTGGGTAATCATTGTGTTAAACTACTGGTGTATCTAGCGCAACAAGTTCAAGTTCGAACCTAAAAATGTTTCAGAAGGACAACAACCTTCACTGGGATACAGAATTCAATTCCGTCACTTGACTTCATATTCCATCAATACTCAAACAGCCACTGATATTAAAGCATATACATCCATGTACCAAATCTACTGTAAACCCCTCAAAATATGCGAGTCATCTAGCTCTGTCAGATGGTACAAGACATTCAGGAAAAGAAAAAACTTCTGGCTTCTCACAAATCCAAGACATGAGGTAGACTGGCAATTAGTACTTCACTTGGTTTGCATCTTGGCAATATATAAGTAATGGCTGATAGATTGCTTCAGTTTAGTCCTCTGTATAATATTTGTTTCAGTAAATAATGACTGAGGAGTAACATATTTAATTCTATAAGGATCTGAGAATAAAGACATTGCAGAATAACTGTTACATCAGTCTTCAGGGAAATGCTGGTAGATAGAGCCTACCCAAAAGCTCAATAGGATTTGCCTCTTATTGGCTAGGAACCAACAGACTTTACATGAAGGCAATGAAAGTGAGGTAGGAATTATAATGATTATGTGATTCTTCATAGTATGGAGTTACCATACACTCACATCCACTACTTTCTGCAGAGTCTCATTTCCTATGGGCTGCTCCTTGAAGTAGAAAGTTCTGATGCGCTGGCTGATCTCAGCTGCCATATCTGGAGAACTCACCTCTCCATAGAACATAGAGATGGGAGCCACACGTTCAAACTGAGAATTCAGTTCAGTTGCCAGTTCTTGTTTCTCATAGATTGCTGCAATATAGAGCCAAATGAAAATCTACTCAAGTCTTTCCAGTTTCAGTAAAACCTCTGTATAACAGAAAAGCCCATGCACATCTGAGAAAATGAATAAAGTACATTAACATGGGTTGCAAATTACATAAAATTTCCATGGAATTATTCGCAATTCTTGTTCTCCAAAATGTTCCAATATAAAAGTTTTATTATACCTTAAGTAGTTTTATTATACCTTAAGTAAAATCATTTGATATAAATATATAACAAGAAAGGAATTCTCACCATAATGAAAGTTACAAACTATATACAGAACTTGCATGGAACTACATGTAAGTCCAAAAATTCTGGGTCCCTTAAATTTTTAATTATGAAGGTGTTACATTATATTCAACAAAATATTTTTACAACATTTTTATCACCATTTTATAGACTTACGTGCTTTATTTAATCCAATTTCCCACTGCTTGTAGTATATATTGAATGAGTGTATGTACAAAAGACTATGTGGTAACTTTTCAAAATTTTGATGTAGAAAATTACGACATAAATTAAAAAGAACGGAGATGGTGCACTACATAATACATTATGATTATCACTCTCTTTTTGTCCATCACTGAGGTATTTTAATGCTCCACTGTGTTTCTCCTTTTCTTGTAATTGGTCAGCAATGAACAGTTATCCATTAGATAAGTGTGTACGAACGTGCTGCTTTCAGGGCTCCATCTCCAGAGTTGATCCCTGTCAACCAAGGAATGGAGAGAGGGCTTTCCTGAAGGAGATGTAATGGTTCAGCAGGCAAGAATACATCCTGCAGTCCTATAGGTTCTACTACAGGTTTGAATGGAATCAATGGATCCACATCCCATTCCTGAAATAATGTTCATCTAGCTTTAATGAAGGCATACTTGCAGCTCAAAATTAAGCTCATTTATTGGGCAACACAAATTACCTTAATACTGGATATGGAGAATGAAGGAAGAAACTCATTACCCTAATTATAAAGTAGAAACGTTTTAGTACCTGAAGTACATGGTCTCTCATGACCAGACTGTGCAAAGAAGACAGAAAGAAAACTTACAAAACCTACATGAGTAAGACACATCAAGGTAAAATGGTAATACCGTAAGATGGACAACAAAGAAAGATCTTTTTACTACTCATTCATCATAATGGGGAAAACATGTACTTGAGTTTCAATAGTCATAGCTACTGGCAAAAATCTTCTATGCTCCTAAAACTCATGGACAGTAAGTATAGATAAGTTTCTTTCTGTGTTTAACGAAATGCAGGTGAGTATATCAAGGTCAGGTGTTTTCAAGATGTAAGCAATACACAGGATAACATAGAGTATACACATGAAATATATACAATTTTACTGTAACAGTCCTCATGAATCGAAGGGCACAGGAGACAAAACTAAAGGCATTTGAATAGGTTATATAGATATATTTTTCTGACCTATATTTACAGACAATCAACTGGGACAGTGTAAGTGGCCCAGAAGGTAACATGTCTGCATGTCATTTCAGTTCTCATGTTGCTGAGCAAGTCACAGGTAACTGTAGACACTGCAGTTTTTATCCTTCAAGAAAGTTCAAGCAGAGTAGCTGTCAATGGTGACACATACAAAGCATCCTTGTGTACCCACAAAATAATAAATTAGGGGGAGTAAGGTCAGGCAGACAAGGTGATGAAGTGACAGACCCACACCTGCCAATCCATTCCTATGCAAACTTGCAACTTAAGGAGGCCATCACTACCTTGTGGAAATGTGGGGGCATTCTATTTTGTTGGAATAGTACATCACTGAGACCCTCTTCCAAAATATGAAGTATTCCGACGTCTAGATACATTATCCCAGCATGTGTACATTCAGTAAGGAAGAAAGGCCCAAACACGTTTCATTTCAGAAATAGACAAAAAATGTTCAACTTCATACCATCTCTTGTATATTAATTACTTCATGAGGATTGTTTTTCTCCCAGATTCTCAGTTTACATCAATTAACTTTTCCTGATAAATGGAATCTAGCTTGATCAGTGAGAGAGTTCTGGTTGCAAAAGGTTCATCCTCAATTCTCAAAAGAAAGTCACAGCAAAATGTTTAGCAAACTTATTTGCCTTGGGCAGTTACATGTCACAACCGCTGATAACTGTAACTATTAAATTTAAAATATTCCTGCAGAATTTTGAATACTGTTTGCTGTGGCATGGTTAAGTGTTGAGGCAGAATGCCTGGTTGATTAGCATGGACTGTGAATGAAAGCTGCCCAGATTTCATCCACTTGGACTTCAGTGTCTTGTCTCACTGGGCTCCATTCAGCCAACCAGATCAAATACTACGTAACACTTCTAAAACAACATTTGTGTTGGTCACCTGAAAAAAATGCACATCTTTTTTTCTGCACCATAACTGCAGACCTAGACTCATGAGATCACAGGACATATTTAGCTTTTCATACTTGAGACACCATGTTTGCAGCTGTGAGTGTAGCACTTTAGGTGGAAAGGTTTGGAAACTCAACTTGATAATACAGCCTGCTCAAATGCATTTAGTTTTAATTTCTATATCTTTCAGTCAATGTAACAGTAAAATGGTTGATATTCCTAGATTATTAATGACAGAAGAATAATTCCTTTTTAAATATTTAATGTTTGGTATTAATATTTGGTATATTAATTTCATTTTAAATATCCTGGAGGAGGGCAGATGCCTAGCTTGCCCCTTCCCCTACTGAGGCCCATGCATATATACCATGAATTGTTTGTCTGTTGCTATAATGTCTCTAGCATCCTTAGTCCTGAGGCAGTCTACTAGATCTGCAGTTGGACTGGTAGGACAGTCCAGAAGTTTGGCCAACTTCTTAGCTTGATATGATGAGGATCCATTGGCTGCAAGAGCCCAAGTGCAGAGTGCTGTGCCACTCTGGGAGATTCCACGGTGAAAAAGTCCTGCCAACAGTAGACAAGAAAACTTCAATTATTTTACCTTTACTTTTCTACTGTGTTCATTACATCATCACAACAACAACAGTAAGCAGTAATCTTATATGATAGCCTGCTTGGCTGCGTAAGCATACACCCTGACCCATGTGCGTGTAAAATGGCAGCTGATTGCTAACACATAGATTCTTCCTTAACTAAATTAAACCAACTGGAGAATTCACATTTTCCTTTTAAAAGCACTCTCTATCTAGGCTATAAATTGTATAATGAAAGCATATGTCATCAACTGGAAAGCCCCGTATATGACGAAGTATATTGCAAGGTTTCAGTTCCAAGTCTAATAAAATTTGTAACTGATAATTTAATCCTGAAAGTACAACGCATGCAGTAACAGGAGCAAAACACAACACAGAACACGATACACAAATATATGTAGGAAGAATGCTCACATAAAAGAGGAGTGGCATAATTTGCGTGTTTGAGTGCGATGTAGGAAGAATCCTGAAAAGTTTTATTATTTAGAATTCATCGTCCTATATGACGAATACAGATTTTAGTCATTTTAGAATGAAGACATTATGGCATGCAGTACAATAGTTTAACGTGCATAAAGACACCTGAGGATGGCACATTAGTGCTGAAACATGTAGTGTGGAAGTGAAGAATAAGGTGAAAAAGTGTATACACTGTAAGATGGTCAGCATAAACCATGGACATGAATCAGTGTAACAGGATGCTAAAATATAACATTACTGAAACACAAATCAGATCCTGAAAATTCTTCTTTTTAGTTCAGAGTTGTGTACAACAATAAGCAGGTACCCCTTAAGGCTGGGGCCACACGAGTGCACAAAATGCATCTGTTGTAACAAACATTGTGACATCCATTGTAGAAATAAACAAGAGAGGCGAATGCTATGCTTTCTTCTGGCTCCATTGCAGACAAAAAACTATGCACCGCATTCTGCAACTGTGTGGTGTCCTCAGCAACGTCCATCATAAAGTACGTTAATTACAATAGATGCATTTTGTGCGCTTGTGTGGCCCCAGCCTGAGTGGAACTCATTTTAGAATGCTTACAATGGAAATGATAAGTCCCTTTTACTTTTGCATGTAACATCTTACACTGAATTTCGGTTTAGCAGCGTTGTATCAACTGTTATGGATATGTAATGCCGAACGAGAGATAGTATGGTGGTTAGTAGTGACTCAGTATGCATCAAGGAGAGTGTGATTTCATCTGAGATGAAACAATGATATGTATACTTGCTGTGAAAAATATAAGAGAGATATCAGAATAGTAGGTCAAGTAGAGTTTCTAGTAGTTCAAACTAAACATAAATTATGTTTAAGTCAAATATGCTTGATTTTTGTTACAACAACATTTATACACAACTGTTAAACAAACATTTCATAAATAAAGTTTTCTTTTTCTCTCAGTTATATGTACACTCACCTCTACTGAGGGGAGACAACATGTGGTAATGAACACTGCTTCCTCCCGCACTTTCCCCAAACAGAGTCACGCTGTCTGGGTTCCCTCCAAACATTTCAATGTTGTCATGCACCCAACGCAGGGCTGCAACCTGGTCCTTCAGACCAAAATTACCTGGTGCTGCAGCATCCCCAGTGCTCAGAAAACCTGCAAGTAACAATTCTAATTTTTGTGTATTCACTTTCTCGTTTATCTAGGTGTGTACAGCATGAGAAAACTGGTACATCAGGAACTGAGAGTTCAGAAGGCTGTGGGAGAAGTCAGCAGGCCTATTTTAAAGTATTATTCAATCATATTTATTGAAGGAATGAGGAATGAAACACAGAGCCTTCATTCCTTGAGGGCTGATGTAATTGATCTATTCAAGACTGCACTACAAAGTGATTCTTGTCTCGTACATCCGTCAATAAATCAATGTGTTATTATGCTGTCTGACATGATACGGGAGTACTTTTGTATTCATGCAGGTTACAAATTAATGCGATTGGGTAGAAGTCCTGAAACTTGTTGTATCACTGTTTGCTGTACAAACCTTGTTTAAAATGTGAAAAATTGTATTATAAACATTTTTGAGGAAAATGTAAAATAAGAATGTTTGCTTTCATCTGTAGAAAGAACCATTCATTCTTCCGAAATAAAGTGTTGAGTTAAACTACATTAGTTATTTTATTCATAAAAGAAGATTTCTGTCACAGCTGCCTTTAGAGTAGCCAGCAGTGTGAAGTGTGCATTCACAATCATGTGTAGTATCTATAGGCATGCTGGGAGTTTGCAAAGGGCACAATAAGAAAACGTGGTTATAAACTTAAGGTGTTTAAAACTGGTTTTGATGATTATGCTAGAGTATGCAGAATAAAGGATTTTTTTAAAAATGATATTAATTTTCTTTATTTTAATATTTGGCGTATTTCCTTCTTCTTAAAGTCTGATGTTTTTCCAAAAATCTGAGGAAAGAAAAGGAGATGCCTAGCTTGGTGCACCCCCCCCCCACACCCATCATTGAGACATGTCTATTACATGTCCCTTTACTTATATATCACCATGAAGACCTGCAGGAATTGAGGAGGTAAAATTTCAATTATCCTAGAACTTGAACCTAAATGGAGCTTTATGTTCAGTTTCACTATCCAGTTACTGGAGGAAGCTCACAGTGTCACTACATAAGCGCCAATCCAGGTATGTTGCAGTATTATTCGAAAGATAACTAATTGATGCAGGTAGCCTTACCAATGGGCCCAAGCCTATAGTTCACAGTCACCAACACTATATCTTCATCAAGCAGGTGCTCTGGTCCATAGAATGAGCCTGCTCCTGACACGAAGCCACCCCCATGAAACCATACCATCACGTCCAGCATGCCCCCAGGATCTACCTGCAGACACACCAATCTGATAACTGTTGTGTTCCCCTGGAAGAATTCCTTTATTAGAACCGAAGCCTACTCCCTAATTCAGCTACAGACATAAAAAATATTTTGCAGTAATTGATGGATGATGAAAGGTGGTATCAACACCAATTTATTTGGGGACATTCGGTAGAATAGTTGTATGAGGCAGTATGGTATAAGCCGAAAGATCGCGGGTTCGATTCCCGATATCATTGGATTTTTCAATTGACCTAATCATTCCAGTGTTTCCTTATTTTTTAGTTAGGTTCGGGTGATTTCCTTCCGCTAATATCTCGCGATATACCAGGAAAGTGATAAATGCAACAGAATGCATTGCTAGCCACGTGGGAATACTGTTCACAGCAGCGAAGTATGAATCGGCAAGAAAATGGAAAGATGCCACTGTAGCCCATTTCGAGGCTCTATTCGGGATAATTCAGGAGGCACAGGGGTTAGGTTACGGGCCGGACGGCAGCGGAAATGCGGTTCGATTCCAGTCAGTGTATAAGAATCTTATTTTTCCCACAGCGTTCAGACCAGCTCTGGGGCTTACCCATCTTCCTACACAATGGTTAGCCGGGGCTCTTTCCCCGGTAGTAAAGATACGTCTTCATAGAGTGTTGTTTAATTAATTAAGCACAGAGATTCCAATATTTGCCTTGATGGACTGAATTGTACCATGAAAGACCTTATTCACGAACGATGGCTTCCGGACCGAGATACAAACCTGGGCATCCCGAATACAAGTAGGTGCTAGTTACTTTACCTCATCGTTTCTCAGGGTCAGCATCATTTTTCGGTAAGGAGATAAATCTTTTCCGGTCGTTCAGGCCGTAGTAAATGTTTATATTTGAGTGCGTCACGAAGAATTGTTACGGCAGGCAAAGCGCCAAGGACGGGCGGCAACTTCTCCGACATCCCTCTAGAGCGGGCCACTCTGAACGCGCCTGGCGTCATATTCCACCGCGTTTAAGATGAAGTTACTCGTACATCCACGGGCCGCGCTCTAGCTCAAGCGGTTAGTCGCTGGCTTCCCACCGTGACGGTCCGGGTTCGATCCCGGGTTTAGTCAAGTGGGATTTGTGGTGAACAAAGTGGTGCTGGGGCGGGTTTTCTCCGAGTACTTCCGTTTCCCCTGCCAATCTTCATTCCACCAAATTTTCCATCATCATA